GCTTCCCCTAAAGGCACTGTTAGGTATAGTGTCAGCGGAACACACACCATTCTGAAAGAGGCCCACGCCGACGAAAAAGGATGATTGTGCTGAAAGGGCCCGCCCCCCCCCCCCCCCAGGGAAGGCTTCGAAGGCCCACGCCGAGTGAAGGGTTCGACAACTAACGAGATCTCGAAACATTACGATAGACCTGCTTGCTAAAATAAAAGGAATAAAGTTAATTGTGAGTTTGAGTTTTCGTGACCTGATGCGGGAAGGACCTGGCGCTGGACCCTCGGGAATCAGGGTGAAGGACCTAATCAAATCAATCTGGTCTATTCTGGAGCATCGTGGCACCCTCTGAAGTCGGCGTAGGTCCTTCAGAGGCTGGTTTTGAAGACAGATTTGAGGCCGTCACGCGGTGTGCGGCGCTCAGAGGCAGAGCCATGGGCCGTCTAAAACCACTGGTCTTTCGGGATTCTTGGTATCCACCAAGGTCTTTAGCCCAGGACACGACACCTCATTTCCATCCACATGTGCTTACTGTGGTTAGAACCTTACACACATAAATTTATTTGTGCTTAGTTGCTTATTGTTTTGTTTTCGTTTTTTGTCAAGTGATGGCTGACAAAATGTTGGTAGGGCTCAGGGAGCATTGGTAGAGCCTAAATAAACATTGGTAGGGCTCGGGCCCTACCAGGCCTATACAAAACGACACCCCTGCTCACATCACCTCATCTCACCCACTGTACCAGTTCCCATCACACCCACACTAGTTCCACCGGGCCAAATCCCACCAACCGTAACCTGACAACAGACAGGACATCCGGCCATGTCACGTGACTTGCGCCGTGCGCACCGCACACGGTCACGTGACGTCCATTTCCGCGACGCAGCGGCGCCGCACCGAATGGGGTCACGTGACAGAAGGGCTACACGCCCACCGTTTGCCGCTTGGCTGAGCTTGTCGCGTGAGGTTAGAGGCGGCCTGACGGCCAGCTCACGTGACCCGTAAATTGCCGCGGGGATCTATTGGACGTAAAATGATGCGTGCGATGGCTCTAAAATGAGATTCGAGGTCGTAAATTGTATCAGGGTGACGGAGCTCGTAAAATATTGCGGATACATTATTGGAACGTGGAGATCAATTTTGCCTGGTTTGCATACGGCTGTGTTTTATGTCGTAGTTAATTGCTTCGTGGATGTAACGGAAGCTTCAAGATGGTATCTGGGTTGTAAGTTTTCAGCTATGTTGGGCAATGGCCGGTGACGTCGGCTTTCCACTTTAGCTCTCATCCCATGGGGCTCGGCTGAATTTCTCAATTGTGGAATAGTCTAAAACGCCTCATACAGTGAAAGCCCTTGCTAAAAGGTATTATGTTAAATATTTTATCTGCATTTTTTGAAATAAAATAACCAGGATATCTATTTCATCAATTAACCTTCTCTTTCCAACTTCTCTGAAACTCAAAGTGGGCATAATGTAAGGCCAATGCTGACTTATCCTGATCTTTAAATATTTAGATAATTGCCCAATACTATTTTCACCACAATATTCCTTCTTCACAAGCCCTCTGATCTCGTGCTAAAGGACCGCTAAAAGCCCTACAGGACCAAGTCGGCTCTATGACGTCATTAAATCTGCAGGCGGCACGCAACTTTCAGAGAAAGGACGCTCTTATCGACCTCAATGTTCACGAACTGACGACGCTAAGCACGGTAGCCATGGCAACTAAGCTCGGCTCTAAGACTATAAGGTGCAATGTACATATTTCAGCTCATGCCCGCTTAGAATGGTTAAACACCCTGTCGAAGGGGGGTCCCCTCCCCTCCCTCCGACGTTTTTTATTTTCGCCATTGCTTGGAACGCGCTGTCCATAGAATCGCTAATAAATAACGTAACAAATAACATTGAAAACGGGCACATGTGGCAAATCGCATGTTCTAACACGTGAGCGTCGTAGATTAGATACCCTCCAGTCAAAAATCTAATTTTGAGCCACCGTCGAAACTGACGAAACTGACCTGTTATCGAATGTCTGTAGCCTCGGATCCGGTTTTCCCTGTTGGGACACTCTTCGTCCCTGGGACGGGCAAGCAGGCCCGCAAGTCCCGGAGGCTGGAAAACGCCCTAATCTTCCTCAACTTCCTCCAGACTGGGGACTCTAGGGTCTCCGAAGAGTTCCTCAGGACTCCTAGGAGCTCCCTCGGAATTCCAAAGGGCTTCCTCTGGGGTCCCAGAGGATTCTCCTTGGAGAACAAGGAGCCTCCTCCAGACTTTAGGAACTCCTCTGAACTCCCAGGAACGCCCCAGCCCGATAACAAGACTCTGTAGAGAAACTCCACCCAGGGAGGAGCGCACTATAACGCGTCCTCCCACCACCACATCCCCACCACCACTGCCAGCCCCCGCCGCCGCCGCCGCCGCCGCCGCCCCCGCCGCCGCCGACCCTCCCCCCTCCCCGTGACCCCTCCCCCATTCCCCATCCCCTAACGCCCCACCCGCGGCACCCGCTTCTACTGTATGAATGTACCGTCCTCTGCGCTATAGAAGTTCGCAGTGTGTGGGCTCTCATCACGAGAGATTGATGACGAGATATTGATTATTAGAATGCATTGGGAACTGCGAGAGAAGATATGGATTTATGGCCTCCATTTTGCATAAAGTAATACGATTATCAATATTTGGGGAAAAGGAGTGGACTAACTGCAGCCGAAAGTACTGACATGTTGGTGCCCGCTTTCTTGGAAGGTCAGGTCAGGTGGTTAACCCTCGCCCGCACATGCCAATTTCCCATCCCAGAACGCACATGGGGGGGGGGGGGTTGCCACCCCCCCCCCCCCCGCGCCATTTCGTTCCTGTTGGAGATAGAGCTTAGCAGTAAAGACCAAAAAGATTCTTTGGGAAGAGACGAATCCAATGATACCCAGTTTTACCTTCTCAGGTCAGTCATTGACCTTCCAGGTCAGGTCAAACTAAAAAATGTTGCTGTTTTGGGTCACCGTTGGATATCAAGTGTGCTGCTTATCAAATACCGATGACGATGCTGTTTTCTGGTGCCAAGCCAGCTAGAACCTCTTTGTCACACTACCCGACCATAATTTTGCTGCTGAGGTCATTTCAGGTCAAGTTAGGTCAAGGTCAATTATATGTGTTTGTATGTCTGTGTGTGTCTGTGTGTATACTGATGTGTGCACCGACTGTTTTTGGGTCCATATTACATGAAATCATGATCTGAGAAGCTTTTACCAAAAATGCAGTCAAAAAACTTCAAAAAAAGTAAATTCAGCTTGCCTAAAACGCAATTATCTTAGGTGACCTAGGTTGACCTTGACCCTGACCTTGACCCCTGTACATCGTCGAACAACATGTTCCATGATAGGTAGGAGGTAAGACTGGCAAAAAAGGCCGAAATCAGGGTGTCAAAAGCTCATAAGGCCCATTGCAAACGCAAGATGTTGAGAATTGGCCATTTGGGTCATGACATGACCTGAAAAACAAGGTCATATCTCCGAAACAAAAAATCACAGAAACTTGAAATTTTCAGTGGACATCAAGAAAGGATAGACGAGCAGCTATACGAAAAATCAGCCTTCTAGCTCTAAAAATGTTGAGTGCAGAGCAGAAAGACTGCCTGGGGGGGGGGGTGGCAACCACCACCCCCCCCCCCCCCATGTGCGGGCGAGGGTTAAGTAAGCTGAATGAAAGGAATACCAAATGAGGAACACCAAACGATATAGCCACAATGAGAAATGTGCGTGAGAACCACACTGGGGCCAGCGATGCGTGCAGTGGGAGGGGCCATGGGTAGGCGGGGAAGACGTGGTCGCATTTCTAGGGAGGTGACACTGTGGGAGGGGGGAGGCGGGGGAGACTGATACTGGGTGGCACGCGGCCAATATAGCCTGGCATGATTGTCCCGCCGGTAGGTAAGAACAAAAGATAGCCACGGCTGACGATATATGGGAGCTGATTTAGGGGAACCGCCAGGAATGAGCGTTATGGTGTGACTGTAAAAACAAGGCTTTGCGTGACAGCTAACAATGTTCGAAAGAGAATATAGGTTATGTGCGCACCTACCTACTGATAAAATGAGAAGCAGAGAAATGAAAAAATAACAAAAAGCGTTTTCGTTTTTATGCACATCGTTATCATAAAACTATATAAAAAATGCCTACGTAAATTTCTAGGTATGCCAAATTACGAGCATTATGACACTTGTCATTATAATCTCAAAACATCATGCGCCATACACCTTCAGGAAATGTGCTCATTGGAACCGAACGCTATCACCAAAAGATAAATGTGCAAACAAAATGAAAACCACGAACCGTTCAATTTGTGAATTGGAATAGTCATCGTGATTAGGTAGGTCGACCTCATGAAAAGGTGTCATGATCTTTTTTTTGGAATTAACACAAAAGAGGTGAATGGCGGCCACCAGTCCTTTGTAGTTAGTGATAGGCAGAATATAAAGTAATTGTCGCTGTAATTTGTCATGAAGATCATTTCCTGTCATATGATGAGTGGAAGGTGATGACACGTTTATGGTTAGATGAGCACGCTACTTTTTGTTTTAAAAGGTGCCAACACTGAAAAGAGTTTGTTGCGATATATTCGAATCAGAGCAGCTCATACTGCAACCCAGATTGAAAATGTTAGCGTATTTTGTTAAAGTAAGGCAAAATCGCTAGGCTCTACAGCGTTCTTATCTTGTAATAATACATAGGTTAAGGTGCACATGACTTTTGGAAGGAACATGCGTTAAAAAAAAGATTGAGTTATGAGGTGGGGATAAATCCATGAAGAAACCAAAAGAGATATATTTGATTATGGAGACCAGCAGACCATTGTGCTTTGATGCAATAATTCATATCAAGAACACTGAATTATCATAGAAGGTTATTGATATAAAAGAACGCTTTAGTCATAGATAGCGGATGCATTATATCAGGCACATTTATGCGATGTTATTTGCGATAGAAGGGTCAGAGATATTTGAATGAACATCACATTTTACCTCTAGTCCTATATCGCACCCTCACGGCATCTGAAAAGACGACACAAATAAAATTATCACATGAATCTTACAAGACAATAAACCCGCATTGTGCGTGACTATCGTACAAAACCAAACATGCGAACGAAACTATGGACAAATAATGTAAACGACCAACGTACTATAACTATCGAGTAATAACTAATCTCCGACAACGTAATTGAGGACGTTTATGGTTCAGGTTTTTATCATATCTTTTCACAGCGCTTGAGGAAAACGACTCAAGGGAAGACGGGCAAAGGAAGAATAACCCAACGGAACACAAAATGTTTTGATAAATGAAATATTTAATGAAAAATGATCCACTATTGTAGTGGTTAAACGCCCCAAAATCTTTATGAACACAAGAGTTTCACACACAAAATCCATCAACTCCCGTGGCATCAGTTTCCTGCCCCCGCCACCAGAGGCGCTCTAATCGACCTTGAACTCGCTCCATTGAAGAGCGACACACCACACAGGACAATGCACGACCCCTCCCACCCCCACAGTCATACGGTGACACGCGCGTGCAGGGGTGTGGGTGGGGCGTCACACGCTATGGCAGAGGCGCGCCCAGGGAGCTGAGCAGGGTCGGTCAGATCAGGGTCGGCAGATTGTCAGGTTTGTGGGATAAGTAGAAATATGGGTAGATACTAGGCATAAATGGGGTATACGAGTATAAGATTGATTCTGGAAACGGATTACAAAAAGGGTACCTGAGTATCATAGCCAAAATAGGTATCAAATAACCCAGTTTTCAAATTAAAGCTATACCTAATTAACATGTTTCTAACACCAGTTTTCTCACGCCAGCTGGTTGACTTATGAATGTGGCAATACATCCAAAATTACTCACATGCGGAGAACCCCTAAAAGTCAACGGCTTTTACTCTGTCCCATCTGGCCTGTCGTGACATAAATGCATCCAAAACAGCCTGGGTTCCTGAGTTCATACCATTTGGTCTATAGAGGACCCATTTTATTCACACTTTTTATCGCGCGTTTAGATCGGAACACCTGGGGCGCATGATAAAAGCTGTAACATGATTGGCTAAGGCCACCAATGTCACAGCCCTGATTGGTTGACGCTATTCGTCCGCTGATTGGCTGAGATTTGGTGACGTCACAATTGTGTGGGTGTGTGCGCTGTTTTTGTAGTGCAAAGGGTGGGGCGAAGATCTGTCAAGATATGAAGCGGCCAAGTGTGAAATAGCACCCCTTGTGGTCTTTTACATTTGCGAATGAAAAAAGAATACGACGTTTGTATACAAGCCTGTTCTGCAATTCCCCAGCGCTGCGAAAATAATGTGGCATTGAATGCAATAAACCACACAGGCCACAAGTAACATATAAATGCATGGCATCAAACACCGCGAAAAATAAATGACACACCTTTGTATCACTAACTCACTAACAGGTCTGCTACGGTGCTACTATACCAGAAGTAAGTGCCCCAGTGATCAGTTATGACAGTCTCACCTGGTTTAGTACGGTGTAAACTCTCGTACATTAGACGGTACCACTCTGGCTGGTGCTCCTCCTTCACAGCCTGGGGGCATAATAAATGTCAAACTGAGGTCACTTTGAGGTCGCTGACTGACTATCACAAGGGACACCTGACTGTAAAACGGTTCAGTTAGACAGGTGGTGATCAAATAAACAAATTTAATCCAGTTACGCCATTGGATATACGATACGTCTAAATAAAAAAGTGGAAAAAGATTTCCCAGAGCAATACATAAGCGTCCACCCAAAGTACGCAGAACCTCAACATATCGCTTTTACGATATCCAAAAATATTTTGGAGCCACTCCAATGCCCTGCTGTCAAACTCATCCATCCTGACCCATTTGGTAGCCACTAAGAAGCCCCTGAGAAGCCACTGAGAAGCCCCTGAGAAGCCCCTGAGAAGCCCCCCACCTTCCAACCATTCTCACCGACTTGTACGCCACTGAGCCTATCACGCACTCATTGCCACCGATGTAAAGGTCACTTCACTAGATCCACTAGCTGTCCCTCCCACCCCGCAAAAAAAAAAATACAACCCCCGCCATGCTCACCGATTTGAGGGCCACAGGCATACCCTGCTGGGTCCTCGGTCCGACCCCATGGATCGGCCGGGGAGACAGGTCGGCGAATTTCCTAGTCTGACCCTCCTCAGTTTGGGTTTCGTATTCGCGTTTTATCGTGTAGACTGAAATAAACAGAGTGGGTGTTAGAAGGGCTTGTAGGTGTGCGAAGGCGTATGATTTTGCCTGAAAGACAGTAAACACATGACAATATGATATGTGGTAATGCTGATAGCCTGCCAAAGAAAATTTCAACGATGGGTGTTTTCGTTATTCCAGTAACTCGCACATTGCTATGTGGCGCACCTGCGTTCAACAAGTGTCTGGGCCGTTCATTCATTCATTCATTCATTCGTACATTATCTTGCATTTGCGGCGCGAATCAAATGTGATTTCACCAAACAAATAAAATCAGCCTACAAAGCATATAATTTGTTTAATGAATCTTGCAGCGATCAACAAAATATGCAAAAGCCAAAAGGAGGTCCACACTAACGCAATTGTTAAAGACAAACGAACAAAAAACCAATAGCGAGGTAAAAAAGCGACCAAAAAACCAACAATTAAAGTATTAAGGCCAGATTTCAAAAAAACAGATAGATCAATAGAGCAATTATGTCTTGGCGAGTTCAGAAGCCAAACAATCCGAAATCGAAGAAACAGCTGACTGAAGACGGCGTTGCCCCAGGATAAAAAGTCAACCCGAAGATGTTATACAAAAATTGCAATCAGAAAATGGTTAATATTCAATTAGAAATGCGCTCAAAAGACAAATTAACCATCAAGGTCACACATCTTACCCGACTTTGGCAACAGTTTTCCTGTAATGGGTTTGGATGGTCAAACATTTATCGAGCTGACGATACGGACAATAAGGCAGCTCCAATAAGACAATCGTACTTTTCAGGTGAATATTCATCTATGAGTCCATGGGTGATACTACCGCGCACACTGCACGGTGGAGGTATGTTCTAATGAACTATATACAGTTTGCAATAAGTGTTGTGTAACTAAATCTCGAGAGGCTAACTAGTGAATATTATTTACACATGCATGTCAACAGAGCTATGAATCTTTTGTGGTGGATATCAACTAGTCCTCAAAGCACATTTATGGCACAATTGAAATATATTTACGACATGCAAACATGTTTATCTATTTTGCATCTAGAATAATGACACTGGGTACATGCCACAAGACAAGCGATCGATACCAGGCTGTTCAGTGTCCATCGCATCCCTAAACATGACTGGATACTACCAGAATACGGAGCTGCAACTTACGTTTATCGTTGGGTCCGGCGAGGGGCGGTGTGTCATCTAGAGGTACAAATTTGGCACCTCTAATAGGCTGAATTGGACGTCCGACCTGGGCAAGGGGACAACAGAGGTTAGAATTGACAGAATCGACCATGGAAACCGCGACTGGGGGTGCGTTAGGGGGACTGGAGATGTTTGACCATGTTTTCATAGCGACACCAGAATCAAAAGTACTATCGGTGAAACATAACTGTTGCGAAAATATCGTAAGCAAGTTATGATCGTTCGCTTAAAAAAAATGGGATATAGGTAAACCTACCTACCTAGTGAAATAAGCACTGACATTTGGGGCATTCCACGACAAATCGACCAAAAAAATCGCGAAATAACACCCTACCTCTCCAATTTTAATGAAATTTCGGCTATGTGGTTATCTAGCCCGGCGATTCGTTTTGTGACATTTTCAATCACATCCGTCGAATACTTTGGGAGATATTGCCCCAGGCAACTTAATGACTAGCATAAAAACTATAAATTTCATCCGCGGATATTTCGCTAAATACTCATAAGATTCATATAAAACTGCATATCCCCACAATTGGAATTAAACAAAGATTTTTGTGATATCAATTATTTTGGAAATTTTTCGATTTTTAATTTTTTTACATATAATCTATTTGTAAAAATCAAATTTTGAGAATGTGGCCATCTTTTTTTGCAATTTATTTTTGCAGTAAAAGTCTTCTCAACGCATTGCCATTGAATGATGAAAATATTAAAAAGGTGTTTTTCCTCTTAAGGTCGCTATACAACATTGAATTTCGTCGTACAGTGGAAACAATAACAATAACTGTCAACTGGTCCGAACTGAGAACGGTCAAATGTGATCGAGAGCTCATTGCAACTCTGTTAATTTTTTCTAAAGAGACTTAGGACACCTACGCAAGCTAAGCTGGGTCCCAAATAGTCAAAGACGTCATAATGACGTATTGTTCTCAAGAGAGCGAGGTTAAACCGCATGTGGCCGTAGGAGCGAGTACTATCCGCCTCTGACGGTTTTCTCATCACTGCTAGGGACGCAATGGCGATAGAGCGCTGAAAGTTATTATAACTTATCTTCGATTTAGCTTGTGACACCAAACGAACTTTATATAGGGTCACTTCACTGAACTATTACGTCAAATAAGTAAGTCTATGTAATGTTAAAAATGTCGCAATAGCGAAACGCCCTCATTGTCAACAATTATTTACGAGGAGAATGTACTTCACGCATTCTTTGCAAGGTCCGATGTTTCAGTTTTGCTCCTGGACCTTGCGTGACGACCTAAAAACGCAACGTCATTTGTGACGTCACTAAGGCTGTTTGATGGGATAATTTTTCGTCAATTGATTCCAAACAAAATGAGGGCATTGAGGGAAGGGTCATCAATGTAGGTACTCAGAATCATCTGAATCGACCAGATTCGTAACCTGAACGACTTCGTTCTGACCTTGACCTGAAGTAAGCACGTTAAGCTGAGCTTTCCAAAATATCAGCACACCATTCTACCCGGCGGAGCATCATAAACACGATGGTGCCAGATAAGTGTCAGGTACTGAAATGACGGTGCTGCGACCATTTGGGGATTTATTGACAGAAAATTAATCCCTGGTTCAGGGCATTTGACCTGACCACAGAGGTCACCAGTTGACCGTAATGATATAACTGTATTTGGAAGAGGTCAGCTTAAGGTGTTTTCCTCAGGTCGAAGTCACATCAAAACCGCTGAGGGCAAGATGAGCTGGTCAAATGAGGCCATGTATCAGCCGTTTTCATGGCGGATGTCAGACGAATCTAGCCATATCTGTTTTACTGTAGCTATTTTCATAACGTAATTTTGTTCAAATGTTTGATTTAAAAGGAACGTCTGATAATATGATAAATAAGGTCAATAAGCAACTAGTGCAACCCAAGCTAAAGCAATTAAGAATCAACTATGAACCAAATTTGACCAAATCGCATCAACTATCAGTAAATGTGTGTTAGATACTTGTCGTGAAAGCAGCTATTTTAGGTATATGATTAGGTTCAGTAGGGTTCCGTGAGTTCACGCACTGGTGGCTTATTCGACTCGCGAGATTAATTCCAATCAAGGTTATTGACAAAAAGAAAAACGATGACCTAAAACGACCATACAAAGTACTAGCATAGGTATACGACGTCATGGAAGGTCCCGAAGAATCGCCCTCTGCAAAGTGTATGAAATCACGATTACAGGTGTTTGATAATTGATGACAGGCTTCGTTCGTTTCCGGCATCAAAATAATAGTTTCAATGTTTCAATATTTCCCATTGACTTGTAATAGTGAAGTCACGTGGCCAGCTTGACCTCGGGTGAAAGTTAGGAAAGTTGGAGGAATTGATGTGAAATCTCAAGAACCGTTACTATATGCCGTTACTTAAGTTTCATCCCCTGCAAAAGGCTCACTGAGGGCGCTGTAAAGCTGCAACTTTTTGCATCGTTCCAAGATTTATTTGTGCTGTCATAGGTCAGTAAGCTGACCTCAGCCTCAAAATTCTGTTGGCGTAAAAAAAATCCGGCTTAAGTCAATGCTCAGGTAGATAGGAAGGTATGTCAATTTCAGCTCTCCAGCCTTACAGCGTTGCAAACGATCTCGAGAAAACCGTTGGGGCTGCACATCAAACCTTCGGCCAGGTGGAAATAAAAATGCTATGGAAGTGAATGTTAGTGAAACATGGAGCATCCCAAGCCACTTAATACCTTGAAATACATTAATCCAAAACGTTTGAGATGCTTCCAGTTCCAAGAAAACAGAATACAATCCCGGCCAGTTTTCACGTCGGTACTTGTAATTTTGTTACCTGCACCCTCTCTGACCTGGTCACGACCCAGGCAATTGCAATGAATTGCTTCCAAATGCCGCACTTTTGTCTGCATATATTTTGTGTGTGGCATATTCAATAAGCAAACTCACTGAAAGCCCATTATTACATGGACAGAGCGAACTTCATGCGATTACTAGGGTGAGCCTTCTCCTCATTTGACCCTAACACAGCCTCGGCTGTTATGAGCGTTTACACGCCGATGACTCAAAAAGTTACCGGTCGATTTTCTTTTTTCTTTCACTATACGAGAGAATATACATTTGTGAGTATGTATGGTGAATTTCTAGTTAATCCAACAATAAATATGGCAGTTGGAAGCCTGCTAAGGGTAAGATGTCGCCCGCTGAAGCGGGATCGGCCGACGCGAGAAACGCGGCAATCACAATTTTGTGTTTACACACTCATAACTCAAGTTGTTACGGACCGATTTTCAAAATTATTGAACCATAGGATTGCCTGTACATTTCTCAGTCTTCTCACAAAATTTGACGTCAATCGAATATAATCAGCGGTATGGAGCGCGATGTAAAGACGGAACCGTCCCGCCCCGGCACAGTCTACAATTCAGGCGGCGCGTAACGGCTAGCGCCGGCCGCCGCGCCGCCGCGGCGGCAGGATGTTTGACTTTACACCGCTATCACTAGAAAAGTTGTGATCCAATTTTCTTATTTCTTGCACGAGGAGATCCGCAGTTCAATTTTGAACAGGTAGCCAAAATTTCACATTAATATTATGTTTGCGGCGCGAGTTATTGGCGAAAAACAGGAGGGGTGGGCGAAATCCCCCTTCCACTGCGCGTGTTAATATTGCCGTAAATAAAAAATTATATAAAAAGTTAAAGGCAAAACACCTCTCCAAATTTTTGTACATCTAATTTTCATATCCAGAGGCATCTTTTGGCATAATCTTTTTGGCAAAAATTTAATGGCCACATTTTGAAAATAAAAAATAAACAATGTATTAATTAAAAAAATGTTGAGATTTTGAAAATTTTCAAAATATTTTGATTGATTATTTTTCTTCAGTCAATGAGGATTTCAATGATATACATATTAATGTAAGTTACAGGCCATATCTTTATATAATGTGAGTCAAAAAGAGGGTTACTCTGAGCATTTTGAAAAATGCCACTGGCAATAACTCGTAAACTGTTTGTAGTATAACGCTGAAAATAGGAGATTGAGAATCTACGGTACAGATAACCCCCTAGACGCAATTTCATCAAAATCTGAGAGGTAGGGTGTTATGGCTTGGTCGATCTGTCGTGGAACGCCCCATTTGTGGGTTTTCTTTTATTGTTTTTTTTTTCGGTCAGAAATTTAAAGCCTCACAATATCCTTGGTATTTTCCAGTCATGAAATACAAATGCATATAACAAATAGATTGATTGATTGTTGAGTAGGTGCTTCGGTCCGCGTGGACCATTTCGCACCATAATAAGTTACCTATTTAAGATGGGAACGTGAAGATAGTTATTTCTAGAGGCTGTCGAGGAGGTCTATTGTGGAGAGAAAAGAGAAAAGAAGCTTGAGCAAAGCGGAATGTTCGTCTCCTAAAATAACAGACATTGTCATTGGCACGCCTTGTGCCCGACAGTAGTCTTCCATTGGTTTACTTTTTCTAGCGTGATTTAAACAGTGTAAGACAATGTGTTCGATGGTGAGTGTTGTCCTGCATCGTAAACATACAGGTCTTGGTTGTCGAGAAAAAATGAATGCATGAGTGAGATATGTATGACCTATGCGCAACCTTGTCAAGACCTTTTCTTCTCTTCGGGACGGACGAGTTGATGATTCCCAGTGAGCTATAAGTGGTTTAATGCGATGAAGGTGTGTACCTGGACCATCCGTGTCCCAGATGCGCTGCCAAAGTTGATGACAATGACGTTTTATTGAAGACTGAATACTACTAATATCAATGGAAGTTTCAGTTACGATAGGGAGATCCAGAGATTGCTTAGCATATCTATCTGCTTCCTCATTTCCGTGGATACCACAGTGGCCTGGTACCCATAAGAAATGTAGTTGTACCCCTTTTTTCCTTAATGCTTCATGAAGGTTTAGAATGTTGATTTTGATGTGCTGGGTCAATTCTGGATTTTTCAAGTATTGAATGACAGATTTTGAATCGGTGCAAATGCATGCATGCTGAATACTGTTTTGCTCAATGAGTTTAAGTGCATGCAAAACCGCATGCATTTCCGCCGCGAATACTGATGACTC